TAATACGTAAAAAACGAATTTTTTATTCCTTTCGTAAAGAAGAAGTGTCCTCAGTTTACGTAGGCGTGTCCTCTAACCGATTTAGCCCATTTTCAATACCAAGCTGCGAGCAAGAACATGCAATGCTTTCGCAAATTCGAAGTCGATGGCTTCATTTTTGCGGCGAGGGGACATTACACAGACGGACAGGCGGGCTGAAGGACATACATAAATCGATTCCGAATTTGATTTGCTGCTCATGCAATTTATTGTTCAGTAGTAACATGACGAAGCTACCAACCCGAATTTTCACTATTTGTGTCAATACACAAAACATAGATGGACAGATGGAGAGACGGAGAGACGGACATGCTTAAATCGTTTTGCGTTTTGACAAAATAAATATAAATTGCGAATGAATGTAGATAATATCGCATAATAACAAGCTTCAAAAGCCCGATTAAATTAATTAAATTCTTGATCAGTTTCGAATTCGAAATGCTCCTAAACATGTCCGTTCTATCTGTCTGTCGGGGCAGCTGTATAGTATTTGTCGTAAACATTCTCCCGGTTGTCGCAACTTTGCTAAAGAATTTGAAAGGGATTGGATTTTTTTAAAGGACACGTCTGCAACGCCCAACCGTCAATGCGACAAAAAGTTTTATATTGAAAATTGAAAAATTAGCCGCGTCTGCTTCATATTATGGAGCATGCAAGTTTAGTTCTTTTACTTTTTTATCTTTTTTACAATAACAGTGATGGGTATAAAAGATTCGGTAACTACCAGATATAATTTTCTTACTTGTTGATTTTACGTTCCCACTTCCGAATGGTCAAGCACGCATGATAAATTCAGTTATAAGTTCTGAAATAAAACCGTACACAAATGGCGTCATGCGACGGTGATTAACAACATATTGTTGCTTGTTACCGCCGTTGTGTCTAACAACCTTTAGTGGGATCAATTATATCAAGACTTTTATTCAATTCAACCGATATTTGACAGTTTGGGAGAATGAACATAATTTTTACAAATATTTATTTATTTGTTTTTTTTTTAATGAATTTCGAGCGGTTTACTTACAGAAGCTTAGCAATTACTAAGCTGTAAGGCATGCAGTCCATTTTCTCTGGAAAAATTATATTCGGCTCTGATCATTATCCTCAGAGAGACTAAAAAGAGAAGAAAAAAGCATAATTTCCATACTCTATAATATTGAGGGAGGGCGCGGCTGACTTTTTTCCATTTTTACTGAGCAAAAGTGGAATTTGATTGGCAGGCTTAAGTGCATTTCAAAATCAATAGTGCAGAGCACTAGTGCAAAGAGCACATATACTTTATGCGGGTTGTGAAGCTTGCTTCTGGATATTATAAATTTTTGACCAAAGAAATGAGATTTTAATACAGTGTCATATTGGGTACACGTGGGCTACGTTTGTCCAATCACTATAGCACTGGCCAAAGGATGTCGGCTAAAATTTTTATAGGATTATCTGTCGTAGTTGATGAGGAAAACTGAATTCTTCTGAGTTTACATGGTATTATGGGCGTGTCCTTCGATCGAGTTGGTTCTTTTGCAATACGAACCTTTTGAAGCCATAAAATTCACTTTGAAAATTACATTCCGCTTGAATTGTATTTTTTAGGGTTCACCAAAAGCTTTGTAAGAGGTGTGTTCAAAAGAAAGGGAAATTTTTCTCGAAATATATTTATTTATTTATCAATATATATTTGGTCCCCTCAAAGTAAAATATAGATATAGTTGGATATAATACGCTTCTGCCCGCGTTTTTTCCAATCCGCGAAGGGCTTTTGATATGCGTTTCCTGGCATGAGCAATTCTCGCCCATGATTGACGTCAACCGCTCCTGAGCGAAACTCATGCCACGATTGTCTTGGTCAAAATTTAGCAATGTCGGAAAAAATCTCACTGTTGCACGTTTCATATCCAAAACATCCGTAGAAATTGCATAGGGTGAGTCAACCGATATAGCAATCCTCTCGACAACTTCGCGAATAGTAATTCGATGATTCTTCAGAACAATTTTCTTCACTACATCAACGTTTTCATCCATTGTTGAAGTGTTGGGACGTCCAAAGCGAGCATCGTCATTAACATCTTCCCGGCCTTCTGGGAAGAGTTTTTACTACTTATAAACATTTCTTGTAGATTCACTAAATGCCACACTAAACACAAATACAAATTTTTTGAACCCTTTTTTGTGATAAGAAAGCAAAATACCAAAACATGCCTAACCTGTATATCTGCCAAAAACAAGCTACAAATGCAAAATGGCAGATAATGTCAAGATATATTGGAGACATGTGTACCAAAAAAAAAAAAAAAAAAAAAGAAAAAACCAAAATCAGATATACATAGTCCACGAAATTTGGAAAGTCACCTTTTTTTTGAGCAAACCTCGTTAATCATATTTCATTACTATGCATAGCGAAAATATATTCTTTGGATATATCGATCATACATTCCCCAGGGATTATTACGTAACATCATGTCTATATAATTCCTTATCCTTATCCTTATCCTTTTGCTTCAATGAAGAGAGTTTACAGTTAGTTTCCCGTTCAGTCATAAGAGCAAATTCATCAATTTTTTTAGCATTTACCAATGCCTGATTATTGACTGATCTCCTTGACTCGCAAATTTAACGTGACAAAAACTTTCGGAAGTTATTAGAAATTAAGTTTGCTTTTTAAAACAAAGTTTTGACATTGTAATCCTCATTTAAGATTGTGCGCAGAAGGACAGACGAATAAGCAAAACCAAAAAATAAGAGGAACATGTCATGTCATGGTCATCCTAATCAGGCTAGTGATATGTATTTTATAGGGTCTCCGAAATATATTTCCATATTTTTGAAAAAACGTTGAAACTGTGTATGTCTTTTTAAGGCGAGGACCGAAAGATGAACAGTTCGCTGAACATTAATACAAAAGCAAAAAAACAAGGTATGTTAAATTCGTACCGAAATATGTAACACGCAAAAGCGTTCACGACAAAAGTGGCTAAGTAATAGTACTAGTATGAAAATTTTGAACTGGCTGCCCCATATTTTGAACCCCCTCCCATATAGCAAAAGTATTTTTAATGCTTTACGATGAAAATGAACCCATAATACTAATGTAATATAGCGATTAACTCTGCAAAACCTTGGATCACCCACGTCTATTTTTGGATCCTATCCTATATGAAGATTTGCATGAAAATTTTTGTTTTTTAGGGCAGAAAAGTCCAAGTTTTGATATTTTATGATAAAAAAATTTATCCCTAATCGTAGTTTTATATAAAAATGAACTAAGCTGGATTTTCAACTTCTTCTTGCGGAAAGTAAGCCTTCATTTGCAAGAAGGTCTAATTCGTCATAAACATTCCCCTAATAGTAAGTTCCTATAAGAACGGGGTATAATTTTTGTGTTCTATGGCGAAAATAAGAATTGTGTTAGACAATGTGATGTATAGGTATTTAATTGTCGGCCTAGCCCGACTATAATGGTTTTACTTGTATGTTAGAAAGATTGTGCAGAAAGCAATTATCCGTGCAATTTAAATTTTTGTTAATAATATTTCCCACCGAAAATTGATTTACAAAATACCACGTTGTGAGGTCCGTTTTCAATAGGATTCACACTTGGGTCGAGACAAGAACGAACTCGTACTGAATTTCCGTTAAAATAACCCGAAAATTGCTTTCGGTCGTTTGAAAACAAACCTACATGAGCAGATATTAAATGGACCGACGGACAAACATATTTCAATAAATTCAAAATTGATTGATGCATGATGTATGAGCCTTTTGGGCGTTGCGCTACGTCCATATTAACTTGATATACTTTTTAAACAGATAAGCTGAGAAGTTTTGCGTCGACACATTGCAGATATAACTACAGCAGTTGCGCTTACTGTACCTTTTCTTTTTTTATTTCCGTACTCTTGTGTTTTTGTTTTTTTTTTGTGTTAACATTCATATCATATTTGCGATCAAATCACAATTCAAATTAATTAACTATTGTCCTGGTGCACAGCTATGAAACGCATATCTCTAATGTATTGCAATATTTATCGAATATTCCAGTTTACGATTGGTCAACGAAGAAAATAAAAAAAAGAAAAAAAAAATAAAAATGCCGGTTATTAAAGGGAAATAAGCCGCTAGACCTTTAACTCATGTCGAAGAATGAATATCGATATAGAAGCAAACTCAAAAATAAGGGATGATGGTAAGTGAATTTGAAACGGTCAATTTCAAAATACTATACATCGACTGCTGCGTTCAATAGTTACCTCAAGGGGGTTACTATTACTACTACTACTACTACTACTACTACTATTGCTGCTACTAGTGCTACCACGTGCTACCACGCACTGCCACGCATTACCACGCACTACCACGCGCTACCACTTTAAAGGGGATGGGGTATGGGAAGGAAAAAATGGCGGTTAAAATTTTATTTTACTTTGCAACAAGAACTTTTTGATTTATTTATTTCCTTTAATGCGTTTTTAATTTAATTTAATAATAAATATAATGATTAAAACTAATCTAAACGATTTTTGCTCTTTGCTTTTCTTTTTCTTTTTTGTTCGCTATAGCAATAAAAACGGAAAATTTCTATAGGTCTGTTCACGTTAGTGAAGCAGATGAGCGCACCTTAGCAGAATGGCAGAAAAGTCTTTTTATTTTTCTTTTGTATTTTTGGCTTCACGACAATGAAAGTTAGGGCAAAGTCTTTGCGTTTAAGTGATCTAATCGTAAATTATTTTAAACAATTAAACAAACACATTGTATTTAGTATTAAATTTAAATGTGAAACTATTAGCACCAAAATATTATGATCTACTTTATCCAAAAAAAAAAAAAAAAAAAAAAAAAATAGAAAAATAGGAAAATAGAGAAAATGAAGACTTATAGCTGCTCATCCTTGTAAGTACCTTTGACATTTAGCTAATTGTTTTCTTTTTTTTTTTTTTTTGTTTTTTTTTTTTATAATTTTATAGGAATTATTTTGAAAATAAAGTCATGTATATATATATATATATATATTCGATTAAAGAAATTAATCCGAAGACTATTACAATGATTCTATGAAAAACTTTTAGATTTTATGATTTTTTACTGCGGTAATAATATCTGCTTGATGTCCTTTGAAGGGAATTTAGCAAAGTCGGTTGGCAAGAAACGATGACCATGATTATAAGCATAAACGTCCCAGATATGTTGAGAGAGTTTCGAACTCTCCTTAAGCACGAGATCTTTTGACGTTTTGCTGTTAAGCGAGATATAGGCTAAGATCCAAGAATTTTTCAAACGATGGACATCGGCAGAAAGTTTTGCGAGGCGTTGTTTCGTTACCGGTGAAGAATGCAACTGAGGCAAATGCAAAGGCTGCAACTGACGAAGCGTATTTTTTAATGTACAGCTTTGCTGTGCCACTCGAAATTCTCGTTGCTGTTTCAGGCATTGATATAAACGTTCAATTTCCAGGAACGCTTCATGAGATGTCGTATTAAACGAGCGCGTATTCGTATCTAAACTTTGATGAAAACTTTTCTGTGTCTCTTCCAATTTACGCAGTCTCGCCTCATGGTTTTGCAAAGTTTGCAAAGTCTCGAGATGACGATTTTGCATTTCCTCTAACAACTCTTCCATTTGTGTCCCTAAACATTGCAGCAACTGTTCTTGTTCGTTGCTAATTTTTTGCAATTGCTTCTCAGCCATTTCTTTGCGTATTTGCAATTCTGAGTAATCGTTTTGTTTCGTCTTCATCACTTGCTTAAGCGATCGCATCTCTTTATCTTTCTCACTTAGCTGATGATGAAGAAATTTGATCTCGTCATAGTGTTTTTTAATCTCGTTCGCTTGCTGCAGTATGGTAATGTCGTTGGAGCGGACATAAACCGTATTCAAATTTGAGTTACGAGCTTTCTCGCCTTCCGCAATAAATCGTTGGAAATCATTTAATTGCTCTTGCATAAGTTGGACACAATTTTGGAAGAACATGACCGGATTATGTTCAAAATCTTCGGTTGCCATTCTACTGCAGTTTAATAAAATTATGCGCCATAGCCTTTCGTGATCGATGGCAATTTCGTTAGTTGTTTGATTTTTGGAAGCGGTGGCTATGTCTTTTGTCGCTTCACGGGCGGTCGAACTCAGAAAATTAATTAATTTGCTCAAGTGGTCGTTGCGCTCATTTAAACGTTGCATCTGCGTCCATTGCAATTTATGAAAGTCAAGCGAGTTTGTCGGTAGCTTCCTTTGCATTTGTTTTAATTGCTGTTTGAAGGTGCGTGCATGTTCCATAAGAAATTGCATACTGCAAAAGCTGTCGGTATGCTCATCGCCTAACTTGATGATCGTATACAAGAGGCCCGCATGCGTGTTAACGCAGTCTAAAGCCACATCGTATACCTCAATGAGGGCAATATACAAGCGTTGTTCGTCCAATAGTTCAGCTAGATTTTGGGTCGCAAACAAATTGGTAAGCAGAGAATTGAAGAAACCGACTGCTCTCTCCAAGCCCTCAACTTGGGTGTTCTCGTCCAATAAGCCTTTCTTTAATAAACGCAACAGTTCATCCAGTTGTTTCTCTTGAGTTTCCATTTCGCAACGGTATATTGCGGCGTGAGTGCAGATCTCGTAGTCGCAGTGATTTAAAGCGAATTCCAATTGCTGAAGCACCATACGCAGACTGCGTAACAGATATAAACATTTAGTGCGAAAAGCGAAACGATGTACAGAGAAACCTTCAAAGATGGCATCTCTGCCAAATTCGCAAGATGCTGGAAACTTTTCATGTATACCGGTACAAACGATATCCAGCTTTTCTATGCAACGCTGCATTAGCAATAAAACTAAAATTACATCGTATGCCCCGCCTCTTAGTAATAGCTCTTCGGGTAGAAAAGCCTTCAAATATTCTACATGCAGTTGAGACATCTTAAGCTCTACGCTGGACAATTGAAAATCTAAAGCTCGGCCGTAAGCTTTAGTGGAAGCAAATACTTGCTGGAAATCTATACCCGGTATGAATTCAGGATTTGATGAGATACTGCTCATATCTTCCGAAGTGGAAACGGTGGCTGTCGTGATAGCGGCTGGTGTCAGAGTTACTTGATCCTTTAGTTGATCGCGTTCGTTAAGTGATTTGACCAATGCTCGAAATTTCATTATTGTACAGTCTCGCTCGTAAACTGTTTCCAAAGCTACATCTTTCTCTTGCTGCAATGTACGTATTTGGGCATTCAATAAATCAACTTCTTCCCTCAAATCCCTCTCCAGATCTTGATTGCTTTCGATTAATTGTTCATGAATTTCTTCTAAAGCCTCTAATTCGACCACTTCTTCTTCCAATAAGCGTACCTTTTCTTCGAGTTCCAGTTTAGCGTTGGCCAATGTGGAAACCATCGTTTCAGCTCCTAATGCGGCATCAACTTGTTCCCGCAGATCGATAATATGCGATTCCATGACATCGCAACGTTTCGTCAGCATTTCTTTCGTTTTTTTCAGTTCAGCAATTTCCGAATTACGCGTGTCCAACTCTTTAACGGCTTTTAAAGCGTGTTGTTTCTCTTCAGTCAAAACATCCCTTAATTTGATAACAGTTTCTCGTAAACGCTGATTATATTGCTCCATTTTTCTCACCTCACCCAGCGTGGGCTGCGAGGGCTCCTCTTTTATATTTATTTGATTATCGACGCCGATAAGGAAGCGTTCGTTTTCCGCCTTAAGAATTTCAATATCTAAAGCTAGCTCTTCGTTCTGCTCTTGCGCTATTTCCAATTCAATTTGCAAGGTCTCAGCACGCTCCTCAGCCATTTCCTTATCCAAGGTCAATAGCTCAATATTTTCAGCCGCTTCATCTAATTCCTTTTGACATTTAATTTTTAATTCGTTACACTCGCGCAAATCTTGCCTCAATCTCTGCAATTCTCTTTGCAAGGAGGTCTGCTGATCTATAATTCTAACCTTAAATTCGAGCAGCTGTTTATTTTGCAAACGCAAACGTTCCATTTCCATTAATTTGCGTTTATCTTCCGATTTTTGCTGCTTCAATAAATCAATTTCATTATTCAGTTCATTGATTCTCGCTTCCAAATTTTTGTTATGCTGTTGCAGCTCTTGAAGACTTTGAGAACTAGTACTCAACACCATGCTATTGAATGTGGGAGAACGTAACGGCTGACCGGGAATAAATTGTGGTCGTAAAATCTCTAAGAAACCAGTTTCCACAAAGGCGGACCTTTTAGCGCAGCAGAAACTCTCTGAAGGACTCATTGAGGTCTTACTGCGTTTTGGAGCTAATGGTGGCGGTGGTCTTAACGCACCGCATGGACCAACAGTATTTAATAATGATAGCTGACTTGTTGACGGTAGCAATGATTTCACTTCTTTCGGTTGATTGATTTTGGTAGTTTTTAAGAGATTTGTGCAGCTGCCCAGTTTAGGTACCATTTTTGGTGTTGAGTCTACAATTGGCTTTGGTTTTACTTTTTCTTGCGAAGCAACCTCTACTTTTGGCTGCTCCTTTACTCTATCTACGTCATCGGTTTGCTCCTCCATTCTATCGGCTTCTATTACATTGGTTCGTTTCACTAAGAGTTGTGTTGGCCGCACGAATATTCCATAATTGGGGGCACATTTAAAATACGTTATACCACGTATGGTACCATTGTTTTTGCCACGTTCAACATTCAATACGACACCAATCCATTTGCCAGGGGCAAAATTTGTTAAACCTATATATGCGATGCGTCCCTCAAGTTGCCTGCCAGCGATTTGCACTTTTTGGCCAACTTTGAAGTTATGCTCACTCATTGTTGGCCACCAAGCAACTTGTGCTTATCCCATTAAATCAATCTTTTCGCTAAGTCTCTTTATAAACATATTATTTTACTTTTTATTCTTCTTGTTCTTCTTCTTCTAATTCTTCTTTTGTTATTGTTAATTAATAGAATTTATTTGTATTTAATTAACACTCTTTTTATAAAATTTCTCTTATTATTATTATTATTATTATTATTACTCATCAAATTTTCTTTACTTTACTGTACGTTTATGTTGCATACAAGGCGTTAGTTATTTCCGTAAAATGGCGTCCTTTTCTTCTTCGGTTTACTAGTATAGAGGAACAAAGCAGCGATAGTAACGTACGGTGGTAGTTGTAATACGTTTTCTGCATGCAAGCAAATTTTAAACAGTCCGACTTTACTGGCATACGATGGGTTAACTTTACGTAGGATTATAAGCAAAATACATGAAAAGCTTATGCGTTAAGCACAGCAAACGAATTTTAATTAAATCCGTTTATAAAATGTTATGATAAATTAAGATGAAAATCAAATAATGAGTGATAATAATTCCCAATCATTCGGCCGCATACTCTATATCATTAGTAATTAAGTGAAATATACCTTTAAGCCAGTAAAGGAAAGGAACAATGAAATTGACTTAAGCGTAACTTGAAAAAATGTTTATTAACGAAGCAATCCTCACGCATAAGCATAAATTTGATTCAATTGATTGCCGATTAACTTCAATGCAACGCGGAGGAAAAGATCACATGTATTTAACATGCATATAGATGTATATAGATAGTCTTCATGCTATTTGTATGCAATGCTCACAAATAATTTGTTGAAATGATAGATGATAGAAGCCTGAAAGCCTGAAAGCACTTCAAAAACAATTTCGCTTGAATCGATTTAAGCTTGTCCATCCGTTTGTCAATCTGTCTCTCTGTCCATCCGTCCGTCTTGCTTTTCATGTGCTCAATCTGCAGGCCGCAACTTTTGCAATTCAATAAAATTCGCCAAGGACCAATGCAACAAATAATTTTTCGATCATTGCCCCTACACAACCTTAATAACAAAGTTATTCGATGATTGATTGCACGCTATTGCTATACTTGTTAACTAAATAATATATGATAACTTTTCAGAGTCATTATGTCTATGATAGCATGGTGAATAGATGTGCCTGTAGATGGTCTCCGTTAAAGTAACGAAGTATGGCGTGAACGACATCCATCGGCATAACCGTTGCATAGAATTTTGGAAATTTAGGCAAGAAAACATCCATGTTTAGGTCTATAGATAGATAGATTTTTTTATTTTTTTTTGAAACTTTGCATATATATTATCTTGCTTATAAACGTTTGAATCGATTACCGGTTCATGCAGTCAATTATTAGTAAAAAGATTACAGTTAGCATTTTACCTTTATCTAGTGAATAAATATCGTATACGGGATTAAATAAAAACTTTTGCGCAACTTTCAACTTTCAGCAAAATTCTTTTAAGCTTTTCTTTTCACATTCTATGGTAGCCTAAAGACATACCTTTCAAATTGTATATATATATATAAGTAAAGGGCTTTCAATTTTTAGTTTAATTTTCAGATCAGATTTTTTACAGTAACCATGACGGCATTAGATTTTTCTGCCGAAAATTGCAACAATCAGGAAAATGAGACCAAGCAAGCTTCCTTACGATTTTTTCGATAAGAAAATACATGCATCCCGACCTAATAGTGATAGGTGTTTGAGAGATAACTTGTATGTGCGTCAAGTGATGATGTATTCTTCCCATTGTTGAGAAATCTATCTATCTAACATGTTTGGCTATGGATGAACAGTTTGAGAAATTTAAAATTTCGTAAAAACTTTGCTTAAACTCAAAGTTCGGTAATTCAATTTAATTCAAAGGGATTTTTTTTTTCTTTTAATTTCACTTAAATCACTTTTCTTCTATGTTCGCGATAAGTTGGTGTCGGTGCGAAATATTTGCGTTTAGGTTAAGGTTTTACGGTTTGTTGGGTTATCCTAAACAAAATGGATGCCATCACGTTAACGAAACGCAAAAAAGAATTTAAAGTTATCATCAAATCGTTGATGTGAAACTTTTCTCTTTTGCACAATAAATATTTCAAATAATAATTATAACGCAAATAATTAAAAAATATAAATAAATAAATAAATATACATATATATATATTTATATGTATATTATAATATTATATGTACAAACATGTGTACGTGTGTGTGTTGCAATATTTACCTTCTTATTATTATTATTTTTTTTTTTGCAAACAAAAAAAAAACAGAGTCAATTATGAAACAAAAAAAATACATTTATAAAAATATTTTTCATATTTTTACGCAAAAAGAATTCTAAAAAAAATTATTTATAAAATCTCTTTGCGTCCTTTTTAAGAGTAATTTTTTTTTTTCTTTTTGATATGTTGTTATATGAATGATTTCGTAAACTACATCCTTTTAACAATGTTTTTTAATTTTTTTTTTTTTTGTAGTTTTTCTTTAAAAAAAATCTGTTTTTTTTTCTCTCTTGTGATTGTTAAGTTTTGTTTTTTTTTTTATTCATTTATTCATTTATTTATTTATTTTTTTTTTTTTTAAATTTTCAACTCAATACTGCGCACAATCTTTCATTATATGCTCTCCTTACGATATTCACGTTGCGTTGTGTTATAAAAAGTTTTCCCAGAAGTTTTCCCATTTTCCCATTAAGAGCTTAACATATTTACTCTATTCTGGTATACGAATGTTTCAATTGTTGTTTCGCTATTGCTTTAGTGTTTGTTTACGCAGTTATCATTGAACTTTTTTCCTTTAATATTTTCCACGATTTCTTGACAGTTAGTGTTGCAGAGCGGTTAAGAATATTTTCTTCGTTTTTTTATTTTTTTGCGATTTTTTGTTTGGCTTAAGGAAAAGGAAACTAAACATTTCTGTTTTTTTATTCAAAATTTTACAACTCGTCACGTTATAGATGTATATATGTATATGTACCGCTGGTTTGTAATGTTTTTGGTACGACTTACTTTTTACTACTACGGCTGCTGCGTGTTTCTAAAAAATTATTTTTTAAAAAGATCATTTTTTTTTTTTTTTGTTCTTTGCTGCTCTTTAAAAAAAGAAAGAAAACACACATAAATAACATACGCACATTGTGCGAATGCTTGGAATATATAAACAGACAGAAGAAAACAATAACAACAATAACAACAACAACAACAATAGCAATAACAGGGATAAAATACACGTTTAAAATCAAACCTTAAAAGGTAGAAAACAAAAATCGTAACCCGACACAGTTTCCCCCTTTGTCGACGACGACGAATGAAGGGGTGAATCAAAGTAAATGACGGCCTTTGTTTTTTTTTTTTTTTTTTTTTTTTTTTTTTAGAGAGAGAAAACCGAAAAAAACAACAAGATTGTAAAAAATCATAACTAACACATATATACATGCCACTCAAATACATAACATCAAAAGGATAAAATCGGTGGAAAAGGTTATAGACGGCTTTGTATCCATCATCTGTCGTCACATCATCCACAATAATATATAAATTTTTTTCAAGAGATTCAGGCATGGAGCTATACTTCTCTTAATCGCGGGGACTAGCCAAATATATGATAAAATCGGAGCAAAAAGATTACAGACGGCTTCGTATCCCGCATCATCTATAACAATATACGAATTTTTTTCAAGAGATTCAGGCACGGAGGACTAGCCTAATATGTGCAAAGCACACAAATGCACCTGAGAAACAAGGGTCTACAGAAGCCGAAATTACAGCTTCAGAAATTTGTCCATAAAAAAAAAAAGCGAATGTTTTTCTCCAATTGCTTCTTATCGCCAGTCGAAAAAGTTTGAAAATCTGACCACAAATTCGGAAAAAACTGATCATTTTCATCTACATCTATATCGTAAATTTTGCCTTAAAAGCAGTAGAGCTTATATAGTTCAAGTTTGATGCGAGGCGTTGCAAATTGGTTCTTATTAAAATTGAATTTAAAAATTAGTTTCAACTACCTCAACTTTTACGCCCATTTGTAGGGACAGCGACGAGAAAAATGCTGTCAAAAGCCGTGTACAAATTCTGTCTTTTATTGAAGGTTCGAATAGAACTCTATTGCAAGATCTGATCTCTGATCTTACGGATAAGTAAAAGTATCGCTTTTATTGGGCTCAATACCGTAATGTTAAGAAATTCACACTAAAGCCTGACTCCTTAAGAACAAAGTTCATGCGAAAAATTGCTAAAAATAGGCTTTCGATTATCAAGCAAATAAATATCTTCATTTAAGAGATTGCTTTCATCTTACGGATAATTAAGATGTGAAAAGGTCCTGACTTAATTTGATCAGAAGGTGACTTAAGTCCTTTTAAATAATACTTAGGGCCATTCTTCTCATGAATTTGTATTCTTAAGAGTGATTTCTTCGTCGATTTCATTACCCGAGCCGAATGCATTTTCCTAGTCCGCCTTAGACTGAATATGACTTGATTCACTATCGAACTGAACCAACCCAAATACGTTTCTTGTAATGTCTCTCTTTTTGTCGGCCAGATTTTTTCCGACTGTGCTTTTTGTGAAAAATTAATGAACCCGTTGAGATTACGATTGACTGTTTTAGGAAAGACATGATTTCAAGAACTCGCTCTTCTTTCCTAGCCGGCGAGGTCAAGATTATATTTAAGCCTACTTACCTTAATTTCTTTAACTATTTCTATACATTTTGTTTATCATTCTAACTGCAGACCACCTTTACTTATACTTGAGACCTACAGGCGCGTCTTATCTAGTTATGCGGCGCCTTTTTACATGAAATATATAGAAAATAAATGAATTTCTTCTGAATGTTGTTGTGTGCGTTACAAACGATATAAAAAACTTAATGTAGTTAAACTTAATGTTAGTTAAAGTAAAACAACCCTATTCGCACTTTAAATTACAAATTAAATTCATCATCAATAATAACCATAACAACAACAACAACAACAACAACGATAACAACAACAATGATAGCTACAGAGTAAGCAGCAGCAGCATTAGAAGTAAAAGGTTTGTGTTTTTTATAAAGTGAAAAAAAAGCGAAAAATGGGTTGCAGCCTATTGTAAAATATCTGGCTTAACATGTAT